AGATTGCAGGTTCATCCTTATCTATCGCCATGCACAAAACTTAAATCCAAATGGATAAAAGACCTCAATATAAATCTAGCCTCACTGAACCTCTTAGAAGTGAAAGTGGGAGACACTGTTGAACAAATCGGTACAGGAGAGCGCTTCCTGAACATAATCACCAGTAGCACAGACACTGAGATTAACAATTATTAAATGGGACTTCCTGAAACTGATAAGCTTGTGTAAAGCAAAGGACACAGTCAATAATCCAAAAAGGCAGCACACAGACTGGGGAAATATCTTAACCAACTCCACATCTGACAGAGTGCTGATTTCCAAAATATACAATGAACTCAAGAAACTAGCCCCCCAAATAGCAAACAATCCAATTAAAAAGAACTAAATAGAGAATTCTCAATAGAAGAATCCAATATGGATGAAAGACATTTAAGAAAGTGTTCAACATCCTTAACCATTAGGGAAATTCAGCTCAAAACCACTCTGAGATACCATCTTACTCCTATCAGAATGGCTAACAGTCAGTAACACCAATGACAGTCTATGCTGTAGAGGATGTGTAGAAAGGGAACACTCCTCCACTTCTGGTCAGATTATGGTGGTTTCTCAGGAAAATTGGAGTCAGTCTACCTTAAGTTCCAGCAATTCCTCTCCTGGGCATATACCCAAAGAATGTACATTCATACAACAAGGAGATCTGTTCAAATGTTTTCACAGCAGTGTCTTTCGTAATAGCCAGACCCTGGAAGCAAAGCAGATGCATCTCAACCAAAGAATGTATGGAGAGATGTAAAACAATGGAGTATTACTCAGGGAGAAAAAAAAAAAAAACAAAAACAAAAAAACAATGAAATCTTGAAATTAGAATGCAAATAATGGAACTGGAAGAAAACATACTGACTGAGATAACCCAATCACAGAAAGACAAGCATGGTATGTATTCACTCATATATGGATACTAGACATAGAGCAAAGGACTCCCAGCCTACAATCCACACCACCAGAGAAACTAGGTAACAAGGAGGGCTCCAAGGGAAATACTCATGGTCCTCAGAAGAAGGGGAAAGGGACAAGAACTCCTGAGCAAGTTCAGAGCACAGGGGGTGGGGGCAGGGGGGGAGAGTGTAACAAGGTAGGAAAAAGAGAAATGGATAAGAGTAGGGGGGAGATCAAGAGGGATCAGCAAGACTAAGACAGGGGAGGAATAGAGGAGAGGAAGAAAGGAAAGACCTTGACAGAGGGAGACAGTATAGGTTTAGAGAGAAGTCTGGAACTAGGGTAATATTCAGGGATCCACAAGGATGACCCCAACTAAGAATCTAAACAGTAGAGGAGAGGCTGACTTTGATGCACTTACCCTATAATGAGATTGATGACTACCTTGTTTGCCATCCTAGAGCCTTCATTCAGTAGCTGATCTAAGCAGAAGCAGGCACTCACAGCTAAACACTGAGCCATACACCCAGAATCCAGTTGCAGAGAGGAAGGAGGGATGAGCCAACTAGCCAATACCATGCTGGAGAAAACCACAGAAACAGTTGATCTGACCTAGTTAGAGCACAGAGACCCTAGTTGTAAATTTGGAGAACCAGCATTGGAACAAACCAAGTCCTCTGTATGTGGGTGCCACCTAGGAGGCCTGGGCAGTCTATGTGACCTCTGACACGGGAGCCAGTGTTTATCCCTAGAGCACAAATGGACATTGGGAGCCCCTTCCCTATGGAGGGATACTATTGCAGCCCATATACATAAAAGATGGCCTAGATCCTCCCCTAAATGATGTGACAGCCTTTATGATTCCCCTTGGAAGGCCTCACTATCCTTGGGGGTCAGTGGTGGGCATAGGAGGATGGGAGGTTGGCATCCTCATATATTTTGGGTAGGGTTTGAAAATAGTACATGTTGGCAAAAACTTCAAAATATGGAGTTATCATGTAGCCCAGAAATGATAGTCTGGTGACATACCACAAGAATTGAAAACATTCACTCACACGAAATTTATACAGGAGTCATTAGATTTAATTTAATCATATTTTTATAACATTAGAATTTTCATAATGTATATAATCAGATTTTCATAAGGGTTAATGACCCCCAAATATTCATTAACCAAAAAATAGACAGACAATGCATACCTTTTATAAAGTGAAACACTATTCTGCAATAAAGACACTTAAATTCCCCTAATGGATCATGTCCTCAAAGAGCATAAAACACTTTTAAGTGAAAGGAAATAAGAATGGAAGGCAACAAATTTCCAGGAACCAATTATGGGAAGTATCAAGAGCAGGCCACTCGTACTGACAAAAACAGCTTAATGTCTTTGAGGTATTGTAGGATGGGAAAGGAGGAACTAACATGACTGATCATAGTTAAAGTGTTTCATTTAGGACAGTGATGAATATGTTTTACAGTAGAACACAATGATGGTTGCATAGTTCAATGAATATATTAAAAAATGAATTACATTGCAGAATGCATATTTTATAATATAATTCTCCCTCTCTCTCTCTCTCATATATATATATATGGAGATATATATATATGTATATATATATATATATTTATATTTGGGAAGTTTAAACCAAATTAGAGTCCTGAAATAGAATGATACCAGCACAGACTGCTATGTTTTACAACTATCTGGAATCCCCTTCTTTTTTTACTCTATACCTGGTGTGCATCTCTTAATTCACACCAAATATTCAGATTTATTCAGTATTAGAGCATTTCCCATCACACATTCAACAGAAGCTGTTGTATTCACCCATTAGTTAATACAATAACAATGTTTGAATGTCCCTACAAATAAAGAAATACAAAATAAGGAAAAGTATTTTATTTTCTACATATTGAGAAGGGAAGGATGGTAGGTAGACACATAATCTCCAGTCTTTCTTCTGTTTCTTCCATCTGAGAAAACTCAGGAATCACAGTCAGCAATTAAGCATCAGGAGAGGAGGCTTCTGAACCCTAAACTCGCAAACCTCTACAGTCTTGCACTAAACAAACTTTTTCTCTATATACTAACCATTGTACAATGTGGCATTTTGCCATTCCAGAATATAGGATATTAACACATGTACTATAACACATGCTTCTGAAGTTCTAACTAGTTTTCTTTGTTCTTTGCCTCTGGCAAGGATGTGTCAGGAAATTAAGGTTCTTGTCACACAAGTCACATTATATCTTATGAAGTCGTTGTAGACTTGACACTAGTCATGGGTGTCTAGCCAATCCAATCCTACTAATTGGCCTCAAGACTTATGTGTTCTTTTAAATTCTACTGCTTTTTGCTCCTCTAGTAGTACCTTCATGTTCACATGCCTTTGACTTTGGAGAACAATTCCAAACATTCTCCCCTGTATAAGTTGTCTTAAGCTCCCTTTATTCCAGTGGTTCTCAAGCTTCCCAATGCTGCAACCCTTTAATACAATACTTCATGTTGTGGTGACATGCAATCATAAAATTATTTTCATTGTTACTTCATAACTGTAATTTTGTTACTGTTATGAACCATGATATAAATATTTTGGACACAGAGGTTTGCCAAAAGGGTGCAACTGACAGGTTGAGAACCACTGCTGTCTCTGACTCTTACTGGGTATTGGGGACCTATTCCTCATATGGGGTCATCTACCTCAGCCTTAATACATGGGCAGTGCTTATTCTTATCGAAAATTTATATGACATATTTTGTTGATACTCAGGGAGACCTGCCCTTTCCTAAACAAAAACAGAAGAGTGGATTGAGGGGGGACAAACAGGTGGGTGTGGAGAGAGTTTTGGAGGAGTGGAGAGAGGGGAAACTGTGGTAGGTACGTAAAATAAATAAATGTGTTTTTTTAAAAAAAAGAAATCCAGGCACTGCTCTGTTCCATTCACTTACACTGCCAGGTATGTTTGTGAATTACATGTTTCTCCATGAATTCCTGCATTATTTAATTTACAGAATATTTTATAGGAATGGCTCAATCTTTCTTTCTATTTAAATATAACATAAATGAACATTTAAATAAATTAATTGTTGCTTCAGTAATTGCAAAAGTCTATGTATTGGTGGGTATTTTTAAAATATAATTATCCTACAGATAGCAGCATCCTAGATGTGCTATTTGAATCACTGGTTTCCAAGTAAACCCTCCACATCTCATCTATATCCAACTTCAAGTCCTAGGCTTTGACTCCACCAGACCAGAGAATGAGCTCTGCCAGCCTTGCCAGCATCTGGCTTTGCTACCCAGATACTGCAGACATCAGAGATGAGTTACAGTGTGAAGGGGGAACAACACAGGATAAGATTGGTACCCAGATACTGCAGACACAGAGTTGAGTTACAGTGTGGAGGGGAACAACACAGGAAATGATTCCTACACATACACATCTTTTTGCAACCAGTTTGACAAGTGAAAAAAAAGTCCATTACTCATAAAAGATGAACTGTGAGGATATTGGGATTTATTATACATTTGCTTATACATGTGCAAGCTTCATATGAATTTTGACCTATAATACCTTAAAATAGTCCAGGAGATAGTTATAAATTTTTAATAATTTTATAGATTCAAGGACACACAATTTAGGAGAAAAATACTTGGTAGCAGAAATGTGTGTCCTGTTTCCAGATATAGCCTATAGACCAAAGCCAATACTATAATATAATACTCAGAATTTTCCTGTTAGTCAGATGTAGCAGAGAGAATGCTCTTATTGTGTAAGCTTGTTAAGAAGGTGAGCAGAGTTTTACATTAATTTTAGATAGTACAGTTGCAGTGTTCAACCTCAAAAAACAAATTCTGTGCATTTGAGTGTCTTCAATTGTTTCTGGTCTGACAATGTAAGGGGAAAATTTGTTCTAAATTTTAAACAAAACACTCAGCAAGACACAAAAAGAATTTCAATACTTCATTGAGAATTTTCAGCCCATCCCTTACACACCAAATTGTAACTTTATAGCTGGTCCCTAGAAGGGGGTGGATCTTACTGGAAGTTTGACTTTCCTCCTTTCATTTTCTTTTACAGCTGTTATAAGCAGAGGGGACTTGAGGAAGTAGATGAAAACTGTGCTGTCTGAGGAGAATCCTAGCTGCTGCATCTAAGGGTAAGAACCTCTTATGCTAGCCAACACTGCAAAAAATCAGTAAGTGCATTTTGGCAAAATTCTGAGGGTGGTAGCAGTGGAAACTCATCCCAACATGTGATTCCTGAAGATTTTTCTAGATTAATACTCCATAAATGATCTCTATTTCAGGTTCATATTCCCTCTCTCTTTCCCTGTTTCTCCCTTCCTCCCTCTTCTTATCACTCTTTTTGTAGCTCACAAAAGAGGTTTCTGTTGTTGTTGCTTTTTGTTTTTGTTTTTGTTTTAGTTTTTCTTCTCAGGTTTTGTTAGGTTTGTCCTAAGAAAATGGAGCATTCATTCTCCAAACACCCTGATCCACTGCAGCCCATAAATCCTTCTCTACAGACATCTGAGAGATTGAAACTGTGCCTTTGGTAAACATCTGGCACTGAAGGTCTTAGGCAGAGGGCCAACATATTAAATATTTTTCTTCATTCCATGCAGAAATTGCTTTTGAGTGCTTGAAGCACAGATTCTCCCTCTCCCTGAAGCTGTAAACACCAGGGTGTGGCCTGCTGACTCACCCTGCTCCCTGCCTGCCATTGAGCTGGTGCTAACTGACATGACTGTTAGCTCTACAGCTGCATCCACTTTGAGGCTGTAACTTTAGTCACACCTGGATCCAGTCTTCTCCACAAGGCCTTTGAACCCTTTCCACAAACTGCAGACAAAGGAAGGATCAGGAGAGGGTGACACATTCATTGAGATAAATTTGTTCTGAGGTTGGAATCAGGAAATCAATGTCTCATTGTAGGGGAGCTTTGTCCTCCTCTTTCCTCTCTCAGCCTCCTGCAGTGGGCACTGTCAGCCTGAGATCTCTGCTGCCAGACAGTCCATCCTCAGCTGAGCTGCTCCTGGGTGAGTGTCCTGCTCTAAGCTTCTTACTACTGTCAGTAGAAATTCTATTTCTGCTCTGGGCTCCTTTACCTGCCCCCAGGGAAAATCCTTCCCAGTGCTTGCTGTCCTGCTCCCCCGGCACAGCTGCTACCTCTGTGCTAATGCCCCGTTCTGAGCCATTCTAATGCTGTCAGACTCTTCCAATAGTTCAAAATAGCAGGTATAGCAAATAGCTCATTGTTTGATAGATTTGTATGACTGATGTAAGTTGTATAGAAAACACCACTGATATCAGTGAGATGGTTTCCTTCGCGATGATGGAGGTATCCCCAGCAGTCACATGGTCTAGGGTTAGAAAGGTAACTCAGAATTTTTTGTAAGCTGGGAAATTCTTTTGCACTGAGCTATAACCCAGTCTGAGAAGTTTAAATGGTCATTAGTACCAGCCTGAAGGACCAAGCAATAGCCCCTCAAAGCCTTCAGAATTGCTAATTTGTATTGCTCAAGGATGGAACTGATCCTTCAAGAGGGTTTTCCAGATTTGTAGATCTTAAAGTGAAAGTTGGACTTCTAGGGGGACTGAAAAAGCACGATGTTGTTCCCAGTTGTGCCTCTTTGGGTCCTTAGGATGGATTTCCAGAGAAAACCACCCTTGTTGGTGTTAAACACTGCAGTCACATACAATGATGACAGGGATAGGCAAGCTAGCAAGTGCTAAGGTTTAGAAAGTCCCAGCACAGCTTCCAGGTTTATATGGGACCATGGTTGGGATTAGCCCAATCTCCAGCTCTGTGTATAAAATAATCATCTTAATCATAACTTGGAAATATCAAGCAATCTCTTTGTCTTTATATTACATGCAAGATTATACAGAATCACTATTTATGAAATATATTTTTGAAAGACTTTTAAAAGAAAGAAAAATATTGTACATATATCACCTTTACTCTGAGAATGTCTTCTAAAATATATATCATCAGTTTATCTTTTAAAAAATTTATAGGTGTGTGCAATACATTTGACTATATCTTTTTTTGCTATTACTATTATTATTATTATTATTATTATTATTATTATTATTGGTTTTTCGAGACAGGGTTTCCCTGTGGCTTTGGAGGCTGTCCTGGAACTAGCTCTTGTAGACCAGGCTGGTCTCGAACTCACAAAGATCTGCTGTCTCTGCCTCCCGAGTGCTGGGATTAAAGGCGTGAGCCACCACCGCCCAGCTTGCTATTATTTTTTATTTGAATTAGAAACAAGATTTTTTACATGTAAATCCCAGTTCCCACTCTCTCCCCTCCTCCCCTATCACCCAGGCCAAATAAATCCTACCTATCACATATCCTTTCTGCTCCCCAGGGAGGGTGAGGCCTTCCATCGGGAGTCATCAGAGTCTATCATATCCTTTGGGATAGGGCCTAGGCCCACCCCCATGTGTCTTGGCTGAGGGAGTATCCCTCTATGTGGAGTAGGCTCCCAAAGTCCACATCTATGCTAGGGATAATTACTGAACTATTACAGGAGGTCCTGTAGATTTCTGAAATGTCCTCATTGAAACCCACATTCCTGGGGTCTGAATCAGTCCCATGCTGGCATCCCAGCTATCCGTCTCTCCATTGTTCAGTTCAGCTGTTTCTGTGGATTTCACGAGCCTGGTCTGGACCCCTTTGATCATCACTCATTATTCTCTGCAACTGGATTCCAGTTCAGTTCAGTGATTAGTTATGGGTGTCAGCTTCTACTTCCACCAGCTGCTGAACGCAGGCTATAGGATGACATATAAGAATCATCAATCTCATTATCAGGGGAGGGCATTTAAGGTATCCTCTCCTCTGTTGCTTGGATTGTTAGTTGGTGTCATCTTTGTAGATCTCCAGACATTTCCCTGGTGTCTGATTTGTCTGTTAATCTAAAATGTTTCTCTCTATCATGGTATCTCCTTTCTTGTTTTCTTCTATTCTTCCCCCAACTCAACCTTTCTGCTCTCTCATGTCCTCCTCACCCCTCCTCTTCTTCCCTTCTCATTCTTCTAGCTCCTTCCCCCCTTCTCCCTTGATCCCAATTTGCTCAGGAGATCTTGTACCTTTCCTCTTCTCCAGGGGACCATGTATGTCTTTCTTAAGGTCCTCCTTTTTTACTAGCTTCTCTGGCAGTGTGGATTGTAGGCTGGTAATCGTTTACTCTATGTCTAAAATCCACATATTAATGAGTACATAACATGTTTGTGTTTTTGTAATTGGGTTACCTCACTCAGAATGGCTTCTTCTAGTTCCATCCATTTTCCTGCAAATTTCAAGATTCCATTGCTTTTTTCTGCTGAGTAGTACTCCATTGTGTAAATGTACCACATTTTCTCTGTCCATTCTTCAGTTGAGGGACATCTAGGTTGCTTACAGCTTCTGGCCATTACAAATAGTGCTGCTATGAATGTCATTGAACAGATGTCCTTATTGTATGAATGTGCTTCTTTGGGGTATATGCCTAAGGGTGGGATTGCTGGATCTTGTGGTAGACTGAGTCCCATTTTCCTGAGTATTCGCCATACTGATTTCCAAAGTGGCTGTACACGTTGGCACTCTCACCAGCAGTGGAGGAGTGTTCCCCTTTCTCCACATCTTCAGCATAAACTGTCATTGTGCAATTGGGCGTTATTTAATTTCCATGAGTTTGTAGGTTTTCCATAATTCATGTTGTTGTTGAATTCTAACTTTAAAGCATGATGGTCTGATAAGATAAAAGAGGTTATTTTAATTTTTTTGTCCCTGTTGTGGTTTGCTATGTTGCCAAGTATGTGGTTGATATTAGAGAAGGTTCCATGTGGCTCTAAGAAGAAGGTATATTGTTTTGTGTTTGGATGGAATGTACTATAGATGTCTGTTAAGCCCAATTGGGCCATAATTTCTATTAGTTCATTTGTTTCTTTGTTAAGTTTCTTTGTATTGGGGGCATAAATGTTCAGAAGTGAGACTTCATCCTGATGGATATCTCCTGTGATGAGTAGGAAGTGACCTCCTTCTTCTCTTTTGGTTGATTTTAATTAAAAGTACATTTTTTTTGTATATTAGGATTGCTAACCCCACTTGTTTCTTGGGTCCATTTGATTGGAAAATCTTTTCCCAACCTTTATTTCTTAGGTACCATCTGTCTTTGAAGTTGAGATGTGTTTCTTGTATGCTAACCTGTGTCTTTTTAATAGGCTGGTTAAGACCATTAATATAGAGGGATATTAATGACCTTTAAGTGTTCATTCTTATTTGTTTTGGATTTGGTGGTGGTGATGAAATTATGTGTGGGTTTCATCCCTTTTATCTTTTGGCTTGTTAATGTGGGGTTATCTATTGCCTATATTTTTCTGGTTGTAGTTCAATTCCTTGGGCTAAAATTTTCCTTCTAGAATTTCTGTAGGGCTAGATTGGTGGATATGTATTGTTTAAATCTAGTTTTGTCATGGAATATCTTGTTTTCTCCATCTATATTGATTGAAAGCTTTGCTGGGTATAGTAGTCTATGCTGGCATCCATGGTCTCTTAGTGTAGGTAAAAAGCCAGGACCTTCTTGCTTTCAGAGTTTCCATGGAGAAGTTAGTTGTAATTCTGATAAGTTTGCCTTTATATGTTACTTGAACTTTTTCCTTTGTTGCTCTTAATATTTTCTCTGTATTCTGCATGTTTCAAATTTTGATTATTATGTGGTGAGGAGACCTTTTTTTTGGTCCAGTCTATTTAGTGTTCTCTAGGCTTCTTGTACTTTCATTGGCATGTCTTTCTTTTGGTTGGGAAAATTTTCTTCTATGATTTTGTTGAATATGTTTTCTGCACCTTTGAGTTGGATTTCTTCACCATCTGCTTTTCCTATTATTCTTAGGTTTGGTTTTTTCACTGTATCCCATATTTCCTGGATATTTTGTGTTAGGAATTTGTTGAACAAGAATTTCTTTGGTTGATGAGTCTATTTCTCCTAGTATATCTTCTACTCCTGACATTCTCTCTTCCATCTCTTGTATTCTGTTGGTTATGATTGCATCTGTAGTTCCTGATCATTTATCCAGCTTTTCTGTTTCAAGCATTCCCTCAGTTTGTGCTTTCTTCATTGTCTCTATTTCCATTTTTAGGTCTTGAAGGGTTTCCTTGAAAGATTTGTTGATATCTTGTATTTTTTGTTTGTTTTTTCTTCCATTACTTTAAGGGACTTTCTCATATCCTCTTTGAGGCCCTCTATAACTTTGATGAAGATGTTTTTAAGCTCATTCTATTTTGCTTCATCTGCATTGTGATGTTCTGGTCTTGCTGGTGTATGGTCCCTCATCTCTGGTGGTGTCATATTTGATTTTCTGTTGTTGAACGTACTTTTATATTTTCTTCCCATCCTTTCTTCAGGTGGGTTTAGCAAGAGTCTTTTCCTCTCCTGGTGGGTATGGGACCAAGGGTCCCTTCTGATAGATGCAAACAGTTCCAATACTCTGATGTCCGTCCTCTTCTTGAAAGAGGCAGGAATGTTACTGGAGCCTTGACAGTCTCTGGGTGTGCTGGAGCCCACAGGCGGAGTTTGGATGCCGTGAGCAGACCTCTGATGTCAGGTGTCCCCAATTAGGGCAGGGGAAACCAAAACCACCGGTGATTATATCTTTTTGAGTCTCACATTCTAGCATATCTCGCCCAATTAAAGGTCCCTCTTCCAAAAGCATATCCTTTTACTTTTTCTTAACCTATTGAATCCAATAGCACTGGCAATGTACATATAGTTTCAGGGTCACCGACTGGAATATGGGCAACCTACCAGGGACTAAATCTCTAAAGAAGAAAAAGGCTGTTCCACTGCCAAGAGATTACAAACACAAACTTCCTCAGGTATGTATTGGACTTTATTTGCTGAAATACTGAGTTCATTACTACAATGTCTTTATCATGGACAAAAGACTGTGTTTAACAGTAGTCTTTCTGACCTTGGACTCTTAGAAACTCTCTGACACTTCTCTCAGTTCTCTGAGCATTGGTTGCAATATAATAGGGCAGACAAGATGATCTCAATGGTCACTTGGAGCTAAGGAGATCTCAGTCACTTATTTACTCTCTGCAATATCTTCAATATAAATATAAGACAAAAACGTGGGTAATTTTATTACTAAATATTATAGGTAAGTGATTAAGTAAGAGGAGTATAATGTAGGATGCCATTTGAATCTCTCAGGTATTCATGGGAAGACCTGGGAATAGGGGCTGAAGAGGTGGTTCAGGCTTTAAGATCTCTGTTTTCTCTTCTGGAGGACCAGAGTGCAAGTTCCAGGTCCTGCATGGCAGCTCAGAATAACCTGTAAATACAGTCCAGTGAATTCAACACCCTACGCTTTGTCTAACACGTTATGTGTAGGAGTATAGTCCTGTATGTGATGCACAGAAATACATGCAGGCAGATTCTCTTACATATAACATAAAGTAAATAAAATATTATGAATGGTTCTTATTTTGGATGGAGAATGCTGAGGTTTAATTATAGAACATATCCAAGTCCCTGTGAGAAGTTAGTTAAGCAACTTTTGTAAATGTAGAACAGTGTTGGAAGTACTTGAAGCTATTTTAAAGAAATCCAGTTTAATGGTCACTTTCAGCCTAACCACCTGAGCAGCATGAATCAGGATTTTCACCACTGGTATCTCTCCTCCTTTTCACCACTTATCCTTATTCCCACACTAAGAATTTGAAACTGCTCCTGCAAGACAGAAGCACATAAACTACAGTTATTTATGGTATAATTTCTAACATGGACCGATTAATGATGTGTCATTTCCACAGACACGGACAGTCAACATGGAGCAACAGTGTGGTCTAATCACTGGTGACATGGAGCCAGGTAAGCCTGACATACTCCTCTTACTGATGAGGTCATTGTACTGAGCACAGTTTCTCATCTATGGTGTCACTGTAGTAAATTTTGCTGGTTACCTAAACACTGATATCTTCGCCAGTACCACTGAAGAACATCTCGGTAAACTTGTGCATTAATGACTTTGTGGCTGGTGTGTCTGCAACCTTAAATTATGAGAATGAGGAAGAAGTCCCAGTAGAGGCCATCTTTGTATTCCCCATGGATGAAGACTCTGCTGTCTACAGCTTTGAAGCCTTGGTGGATGGGAAGAAAATTGTGGCAGAACTGCAGGAGAAGATGCAGGTGTGAATGATGAGTTCATTATCTCTTCTCTTCATACTTTAAATTACATTCTACATTTGTCTTAATAAACAACTCATGGCTGTCCCTTCTTTCATTCATTTCTACTTACTGGTTGCCTAAAATCAATTATGCAGAAAGAATCAAGTAGAAGCTACCAGAATAGTTGTGAAGTTCATAGGATCTCTGACACACCCTCCAAACAGTCCGTATTTTCTTGAATTTATGTTGTTTCATTTCAACCCTCTCTGCCCTTGTTGTAGGCACAGAGAAACTATGAGGATGCCCTCTCCCAGGGCCACCAAGCTTACTTATTGGAAGAGGATGACTACTCCAGGGATGTCTTTTCTTGCAATATTGGGAACCTCCTGCCTGGGGCTAAGGTGGGAGTTACGCTGAGGTATGTACAGGAACTGCCTCTGGATACAGATGGTGCCCTGCGCTATGTACTGCCAGCCATCTTGAATCCAAGATATCAACTCTCTGGTAAGTAATTTCTGCCTTTGAAAACAAGTGGAGATACAGCTGGGGGATATACCAAATTATGTTTGTGTTGGAAATTGTTGCCATGGAAAACAGAAGAAATGCACTTTTTTATAGAACAGTCAGCAAACAGTTCTTTGAATATGAAGACTCCCATAGTCCCTTTGGAGGCCCTGCCCTACACACTCAGCATGGTTGCCACCATCACTTCCCAGCATGGCATTGAGAGGGTCCATTCCAACTGCTCCTTGGGTCCTATTCAGTACCTTGCTGATGGCAAGACTTCTGCTCAGGTGAATAGTAAGACAACACTACTGTCAGTCCTCTCTGTCTTCATTTGTCATCATTTATTCTTGGTCATCATTCATTCTTCCTACATCTCCCTTGCTTTTACTGTCCATGCTTGGAGACAAATACTATCTTCTCTACTCCAGGTAAAGTGTAGACCCTTTTTGTAAACAGTCTTTTCTGTACTTCTGATTGTGTCTTGATGGAAGAAACCTGTGACCCAGAACTCTGACCTTCTCTCAGGAGAAATCAATGGCAGTTCTAACATGGCTACTCTGCTGGTCTCCTCCTCAGGTTTCCTTGGCTGAAGGACACAAGTTTGATCGGGATGTGGAACTCCTGATTTACTACAGTGAAGTGCACAGCCCCAGTGTAGCTGTGGAGATGGGGATGCAGGACATGAAGCCAGGTATTTCCTGTCTCCCACTATGGTCCCTTTCTAAGATGTAACACTAAATTATTCCTGATTTTCAATTCTCTATCCAGGATCAGTGTATGACCATTGAAATTTTGACTTTTCACTTCCACATGGAAACATGACAAAGCTTAATAGGTAATCAATGACCATGTTCTATAGGTTAATTTACATAGATTATTAGATCATTAGAGGGAGAGTATGATCAATACCTCACAAGAAAACATGTGGCCCACTATCAACATGTGACAATGACTGGTCTTACAAAAATGGCAAATAAAAGTAATCCAGTGACTACTTCTCATTCCATAGGATCAGTAATGTCCAAATCTGGGAAAGTCTCATACTTTACATGGTGACATGACACTAAGCTGTCAGATTGTGTTGAAACAAATCAGTTTGTTTCAACTGTTTTAAAAGTATTTGTCCTGCAAATTGTAAAAATTCATTTTGACTATTCTATTACTTATAATATTTCTTCTGAAATAAATATAAATGTCTATATAATATGCATATGATATTTACTAAAGCATAATAGTATCCAGTCTTAGTAAATAATGAAAACATGTAATGCAATTACTATTTGTGTCATCAGTTACATGATGAGTTATGATGTCATTTTTATAATAATCTACATTAACAAATTGTTGGATTAGGTAGATATTCTTTAAAAAAATGGAAAGGAAAAGTAGTTATAATTCTTAGTGGCACTATAAAATAATAGTTGAATTAGGAAAACAAGGATATTATAATCTATGCAATATACGAATAGTACTTTCCTACATGAATAATAATTACACTTTAAGTAAATATGTTTTATTGGTTAATTCATCACAACTGTATGTAATCTTGCTGTCAGTTCTTACTTATTTGTATTATGACTAATAGTGACTAAATTTGACAGAGAATTAATTTTAAGTGTCCTGTGTCCTATAGAAATTGATTTTGAAATAATCATAAGAATCCAGCACATACTATTTGTTTGTATCCCTTCTTATTTACACTGAGTGATTA